CCCTCATACGAGTGCATTGTAAGATTCATTTTTTTCTCTAGCGGTGGCAAGTGCAGGTATTTGTCATGTTAAATCAGCATCACGTATTTTCTACATTTATTCCTCTTTTAGTAAAATTAAAAGCCCACTTTTCTGGTTTCTTTTTCTGGTATGTATTGAAATAGGTATGTGACTGCCTTTTGTGCACTAATATTTTTTAAAGTGCTAGGTGGGCATCTACCCACTATTGATTTAATCCCTGAACTTTATAAAGTTTTAATTATGTTTCTATATTTTTAATTTTAGTTCTAATAATCTTTGTGGTTATTATCGTTACTTAAATTTTAATGTAGCATGCTGATTAGACTAAATAGTGATAATTTTAGTATGACATGGTAACGTTAGACTCCAAGGGAGTAGACCGGCCAGATAAAATAAGGGGTAGATAGACAAGTTGGATTTAGAATGTATTCAACCTGCTCACCCTATTTAATTTTTCTAGCTTGCTAGTGCTTATTTTATTAAGTTGGCATACTCCCTTGTGCCATCTGATGCCTCATTGTGTCAAATTATAATTTCACATTTTTTCATCAATATTTTTCTAAAAATGGGCTTCTGCCACGATTCTACGAGAGGAATGTGGTAGCCTTTAGCATTTTAAAACACTGCATATGCCTTATGGTTCAATTTGTTCGGAGATATTTTATCTTGTATATATTTATCGTTCAATTTGTTTGGAGATATTTTATATATATATGAGAAATAATTCTATGAATAAATTTAAAATAAGTTACGCATACCTTAAAGTTAAGTTTTTTCTCCTTTATCCTTGCCTGCTTCTTGCCTCTGTTTATTAGCATCAATAGTCACGTTCAAATTAGTCACTGTGCTTTGTAATCAAGGCTAATATTTTATGGTTTGGTTCTATGCTTCCAATCCTTTGATTTTGTACTTTCTTCATGCATGGATGATGTCAGAAGTCAAAATAATTATATGAAATTACTTGCATTTCGTTAGAATCAGGATCCCATATGCCATTCCCAGTTTCCAGATTAAGTTTCTGTTAGTACACAAAACTGTAATATCATCACATGGACTGTATGTTTGTGGTTCTATGCGTTTTGACCAACTGATAGATTGTTAGAACTGATTATTCTTCTCCACCTATGTGATTGACATTAACATTGTTTTTAACATCTGACAGGCTGTAACTGCCGAGGATATCCTCAGTGGAATTTTCACAATTGATGATGTTATTCTTCCCTTGCCTGGGTGAGGGTAGAAATGATTTATGGCCTGTTGAAAATCTATTTTGGTCTTATGGTTGTTTACGTGCGTGATTTAATTATTTACTATTTATTTGAACAGGTCAAGAGTAATCTATCCCACAAATGATATTGCTAAAGTTTATCATGATTTGGCGACTAAGGTTCTTTATCAATCTCGACTTGTATTCAATATCTTCCTTTTTATCAGAATATCTTAGTTTTTTTAGCTATGTTGCTTTTTATAATTGTTCTTCTCGTGGATTTAAGTACTTGACATAATAATATGTAGAATTCGGTCTATTTCTTGCCTAACTTATCTCAGAGAGTGATTTCTATTTGGTAAATAGGCCTAAATTAGCATTAGCAACTAGGATGAAATTACCTTATCACTGAAAATTGAAAGAAAAGTCAAAATAATCATGTTACCTGTGTCCATACTTGCTCATTTTCATCAAATTCAATATATCTTAGGAGAGTTTATAGCTTCCAATAGCAATCTTCAGTACAACAATAGTGACCCAAAAAATAAAAAATTGTTAATCTGTAACTATTTTACTTGTTGAATTGTGGTTATCTTTTTGGGGAATGAGGGTGAAGTAAAATTTCAAGCATAACAAGACTTTTGATAAATGCATGCCCTGGGACTCACCATCTTAATTACATAAGCTATTCAATTTTGGACACAAGGATAGTGGAGTGTGGGACCTTGTTTTGTATCCTTCTTCCTTGTAGCAGCATTTTAATTGTTACTTCTGACTTCATTTTCTGCCCTTTTAACTGATTTTGATGTCTATTTTAGGATTCAATTAGCTTGACGGAGACTGTTCATAATGTTAAGTATGTTTCAAACTCTCATGAGACCAATCCATCTTCTAGAAAGCAGTATTTGGATAATCTTTTTTTTCTACAGTTATACTTTATGATATATGTCCTCCACAGGGAATTCTCGATAACCAGTATGACTGGAAGCTACCGGAGAGTTTTTCAGAGGCCAATGGACTATGAGTGGTACTTTCTTTTAGTTTAAATCATTAATTCCTAGCACATATCTACTCTTTTTTGACTACTAAATCTGTTGTTTGGGCAGGGAATTGATCTCATATCTTGATCGTAATTTGCCTCTGGCACAGAGTGATTTAGATAACCTTGTGACGTCTCAACGTGTCGAAATCGCAAAGGAAGAAGAAAATGTGACGGATAAATCCAAGGATGAATCAAATTGCGCAGAAGCAGAAGAATCAGAGTGCTGTAAAAAGAATATCGCAGACGAGAATGAGAATGGAGAAGGTAGTGAGGATCCTCAGATGGCTCTCAAGTTGAGCTTTACTCTCTCTGCATCGTCTTATGCTACGATGGCAATTAGAGAATTGCTGAAGACATCAACTTCTGTGAGATCTCTTCTGTTTCCTTTCACTTCTACCTCCCTTTTGTTTTGTTCAGATATGAATTTCGGTTCAAGAAGAAGTTTTCCTTTTGCAGACTTGCGGCAAATCCTTAAACGAGTGGTACTTGAATTTATTTGTTCTTCATTTGATATTTCAGGTTGCTTTCCACAAATCTTTAAACGAGTGATCACATGGAGACTGATGGAATCCGGTGCAGTTCAATTGGAACCCGAAGGTGAAACTTCTAATTGACTAGAAAAATAATCAACAATATAAGTCTCTTTTGTAGTTGACTGTTGGCTGAACATATATATAATTTTAGTCCCAATTTCGTCCGCACTTGTTTTTTAACATTTTTCGATTATATCAAGAAATTTCAACTTTTCCTCTCTTAGGTGGTCGAATTCCTTGTCTTTCTACCAACTCCATGTCATGTAAGCTTTATTATCAACCAATTTTAATATTCATTCATGGAAAAGCCATCATGGTGTGGTCTAGTGGTCAATAAGGACCAATGTAAATAGCAAAGGGCTTAGAAGGAATGGGTTCAAACTACCACCTACTTAGGATTTAATATCCTACAAGTTACCTAGGCAACCAAATGTAGTGGGGTCAGGCGGTTGTTCCGTGAGATTAGTTGAGGTGTGTGCAAGCTCGCGCTTCCAAGCTGGCCCGGTCACGAGGAAGAAAGAGATCTTTGTCGGTGCTGGATATTAAAAAAAAAATCATCCATGAAAATGGTATAATTGAAAAACTTTGAAATACAAGGGACTAAATTGAAATATTTTATACAATAAGGACTAAATTGAAATATTTTATACAATAAGGACTAAATTGAAATATTTTATACAATAAGGACTAAATTGTAAAGATACTAGGCACCTAGACCCAAACATATATTTAGTTTGATTGTTTTATTTTTACTTTTTTTATTTGAGTACAACACGTGAGATGAGTGTTCTAACTCACGACTCTTTGGTCAGAGATAGATATGCATTAACATGTTACTCAGGTTGGCTAGTCTTGATTGTTTAAAGGACGATGGTTTCTACTTTTTGCTACAAACACACTTGACCTCAATTCATGAAAAATGTTTATTAAGTACAGAAATCTCGGACACACCAATAAATCTGCACGCCTAAAATTTGGTGCTTTGTGATATGATCTGACCAAGTGCATTGAATTTGAAGATACAAAGATAAAATGAACCAAGAATTGTATATGCAAGTATTTTGCCCACAATGTACACTTTATTACTACCATTTCTGGTGGTTGTTTTCTTGGACAATTTTGCCTTTGCTAAATCCAGTAACTTGCTCGTTTTGCTGTTTTCAGAGGGCCGATCTGGGGCTCAGGAGCAGTTTGAGGAAGCAACACAGAAATATTTATACTTTGTCAATCTGCAGTTTCGGTTTCGGTTTTGGTGTCAGTTTCGACTTGTTCTTGTTTGAGGTAGTGCTGTATCTAAGACTAGTTAATTTTCTACGTTCACTTGTATGAAAGTTCCAGAAATGAGATTTTATTTCTGCATGCTAACATTAATTAAATGTGGTAAGGATTTGAATTAGAATGAGCATACATTGAAGATGATACTCTAGTTTTTTTAGACCTTGGTAGTGTAATCAAATTTAGGCAATTTTCAAGGTTCCCTTTATGCGTATTCCATGTCATACTTAGAAATGTTTGACTACAACAGTATGAGTAAGAGCCAAATAACAGTATAATAATAAACTCACGTATTCTAAGGCTGATATTGGTAGATATACCAAAACTTTATAAAAGTAATAATTGTAGTGTAGTTGGCTTCAAATGATGCAATTGTGACTGAACAGACATGAACAAATAAAAAATTTGATCGCTCTTTCATGTATATGAAAAACAGAAAATAACTTTATTTATACATTTCTCCTACTCTGGCCAAACGTTTTAATGGTAACCAACAAGAGACGAGTATTAACCAATTAGTAGCATAAATTTAGTTTGAGATTGACATAGGCCAGTATAATTTAAGATAGACTCAGATGATAATTCGAGCTTGTAGCGCTTGTCAAGAGAATGGTTTAAAAAATTGGTGTAATTTTGTTGATTCAGAAGTACAAATTTAGACAAACTCAAATGTTCTAATGGCAGATTCAAGAATGCCTTGCAAAGGAATTAGGTGTAGTTCAAATGAATTAAGACTTGTTTAAGTGACCAACATGAGTATAGCTCAACAATTTAATCCTCCATCTCTACATTTGTTGTACTGAAAGAAGAAAGAAAGAAAGAAAAAAAAATAAAAAATTTCAAGTCAAATTAACCCTCTAGAATTATACACATAAATGCATCAAGACCCTACACATCCTGTCAAAAAACAAAGTCAAAACAGGGCAGCCGTGACGTACATATTGAAATTACAGCATTAACATTGAAACACATCAAACATTTTATTCAACCCATACATATATTTCTTCATGACTTGAAAGTCTGCTAAAGAAAGGAAAGTAAAGCTTACCCAAATGGAAAATTGACAAGATGCCTTTCACATAGTGCATGCAACAGTCCCACCTATAATTTCTAGCTCTGAAAATTACTCCAACCATCAGATTACACGAGACTTCCAAGTCTTGCAGATGTAAAGAAAATTGATGATTTGAAAGACGACTTGAGTTTTGGCATTTCAACTTCTATGCAGTTGTTTCCAATAACTAGAAGACTTGCTGCATTTTCAGCAGATAACACAGATATTAACTAATGACAGCTACCACAGATCATTACCATTATTGATTGATTCAGTTGAAATATCCCAGAAATATGTCATCATAAACTTTCCGTCCTCTAAGCAGCATTTTCTCCAATTCTGTGGCTACAACAGCATATCTACCTCCTTTCCAAATACATATAATGAAAAATGGAAACCAAAGTGCAACTCAAGCACTTTGTTTATAGTAAAGGCTTCAGAAATCAAACACAAATTGGAAATTTCCATTGATCCGGAGCATCAATAAGTGGCAAGTCAACAGATTGTATAACAATTAAAATAACACGACCATTAGTGACCTAATAATGCTATATTCACCAATTCATGAATAAACTAACTCTGTAACAATATGAAGAAACAAGAATTCTAGAAATTCAATTTTGTTTACCATCCAAACCCTCACCAACCAAAGTCCCCTTTGAGTTAGAAACAGATTTGTGTAACTTGCTATGCTCTATATTGGCACATATCTCTTCACTGCCTGCTTGCCCGCAACTGCAGCGGCAGCCGCAATCCCTCCAATGGCACCGGCGATCGCTGCTGATCTTGGCCCCGAAGCCGCCTTATAAAGCGCACCAGTCCCCAATCCGGCGACGATACTATTC